GCTTTGGAGCCTATCCTAGCACTCGCTCTGGAGATCAGGTTGCACCAATGCCTGGCCTTGTTTCCATGTTATTACACTTGAGAGTCTGTGTTGTACTATGTATATATACATACATATCCATTCTCTAAAACAGTGACATTTTGAAGACTGGGAAATTTTTACAAATACATTTTAATTGAAAAAAATTGTATCATTTCTCTCTTCCCATTCCTGCTTCCAGTCCCTCCCAACTAGTTTCCTTCATAACCTACTCTCAAGTTGATTGCCCTCTTTATTATTATTATTATTATTATTATTATTATTATTATTATTACATTCATGTATACATACAAGCACAGGTATATGTATGTGTATACATATTTATGTAAAATACAAGTTGCTGAGTATATTTTTGTTGATTGTGTATATATGATTCCAAGGCTATCCACTTTGTATCAGATAATCAGTAAGTGGTGGGAGCATTTTTGGGAAAAGATAAATTTCCTTTTGCCAGCAGTCATTACTTTCCAGTAATTCTTTGTGTATGGGTGGGATGTCACAAAATTCCATCCTTTCACATTGATTATATTATTGTCATCATTCCAGTCTTATTCATGAAGACATTTGTAAGAAAGTGTATTTCACAGCTGACTTCCTAATATCCTGGCTTGGACATTCTTTTAGTTTCTTTCTTGACATTCCCTGAGTCACAGATTGTAATGTACAATCAGGTTTTGTGGTTAGCCTCCTCACAATCTATTGATATTAGCACTGTGTCCATGCGTGGTTTTTTGTGTTAGCTTCCATTTGCTATAAAAGAGCTTCTTAAATGATGAAAGGGAACTACACATATCTGTGAGTGTAAAAAACAGTAAGGGTTTATACTCATTTTGGAAAGTGGCACTAGTAGTCTCTTTTCTAAAGTTCATGACCATACTAAGCACTAGGAAGCTGAGTAAGTTTCCAGTACAAAGAATGATTTCCCTCATGTTAAGTGGTATTTAAATCTAAACAAATAGATGTTGGTAGGAATCAATGTGCAACTGCCACTTATTGCACATTTTGGGATATGTTGCTTGGTTGGTCATTATCATGGGTAATAGGTGTTTCCGTTAGATAGTTCTGATTAACTGCTTCCCTCCTTAAACAATCTGCACACTATTTTTTAGTGTTATGGAAAGTAGACCAAAGAAAAGCAGCTGTCATGTCATATCCACCTTTAATTATAGAATTTCCATGTCCTAATATTTGGTGTTCCACCTTTTACCCCTGATAGACAACAAGTAACTATACCAATTGTCTGTATCTATTGTAATCTTATCACATTCATATTCACATTTCTGTTCTCAAGTGTGAATGACAGTCAGGAATTTGAGTTACAATTTGAATGAGAATATAAATGTATAGGTCCATACATCAATGTCTATAAGAATAAATTATGATGTGTTAGCTCTGTAAGAATGTGGTCCTATGATAAAACAACATGCATTCTTAACTGTTGAGCCTAATTTCTGGCTCCCATTTCATTGATTTATTAGCATTGTCTAGTCACTCTCTATTTTACAAAGAAGACTTCATACTTATCCCAAAGCCAAATAATCATGGCACACATATAATAATATAGACAGATATGTATTATTACTTTTGTTGTTGTTTGTTTGCAAGACAAAATTTCTCTGTGTATCCTTGGCTCTCCTGGAAGTCACTCTATAGACCAGGCTGCCCTGAAACTCCAAGATATCTTCCTGCCTCTGCATCCTGAAAGCTAGAATTAAAGGGATATACTACCACTGCTCGTCTTATTACTTCATTAAGGAATTGAAATTGCATTAAGCTCTAATTTGATGATGATGAATGAAAAATAAATCCATGAATTTTCTAAAATTTGGAAATTTCTTGATGAAATATTTTCATGCTATAAAAAACAGAAAATACAGAAATGCTTAATTTCACTTAATGAATGATATAAATTTATTTTACTTGAGATACCTTATAATCATTCTTCTTACCTTTTTAGGTTTTTTTCCTAGCATTTTAATTTTACACGCGCACACGAACATGTGTGTGTGTGTGTGTGTGTGTGTGTGTGTGTGTGTGTGTGTGTCCAAAATATGGTGTTAGATCCCTTAAAATTAATGTGTCATGGTTAAGAGAATGTGGAGCTATGAAAGAACATCAAGTATTCTTAATACTGAACCAACCTTCCAGCTCTCATTTCATTTCTTTGTCGGCATCCTCTAAGCACTCTCAGTTTCACAAGGAAGAATTCATACTTCTCCCAAAGTCTAAAAATTATGACACACATAATCTGAGAATCCCTGTGTTAGAATGGCATATGTTCTGAGTCTTTTAGTTACTATCAAGGAGAGCTATCTTAGAACTGGGAAAGTTCATAGAACCATACAGAAGACAAACAGCTCTTAGGTTCACAAGTTCAGCTCTGTGGCAGACAGAATCATTTGTCATGTTCTTGAGAGTTTAATATCAGCTTTTGATAGTGTAGTCTCCTCCAGTGTTTAGAAGGTTCCAGTGGTATTTCAAACAACTCATCTGAAGGGTTTAGGTTGGAAGGAAGGCACAGTTTCAGTAACTGAATCAAATGCTGGGAATGCTTTATTCGAGACAAGGGACAGACACAGAGCAGTGTACATTTCCCAGCCTGAGCAAGTCTGAAGAAATAACAAGTCAGTTCTCAGCACTGACTCTCAGTCCCTGAAATGGTGAAGATGAAAACTCACTGCTCTGAGTAGAAACAAAATGAAATATTTTTGAACACCTTTTCCTGACAGGTTTAAAAAAAGTAAAGGAAGCAGTGGAAGGTAGATTTGCTGGCTGTGAATCCTGGAATATATTGAGAGCAGTTATTTTAGTGATGCTTGTGATAAAAATTAAATGGGTGCCTTATGGGAATATACATTTCGCCAGAAAAATGATGGGGCAAATACATGCTTTAAAGACATTCTTACCAGTTAGGCAGAAATGGCAAGGAGTGCCAAGGCAGAATAGGGATGGAATGGAGAAAGGCAGAAGACCAAAAAAAGGAACAGTATTTTAAAACTCATTTAGGGATATCTGGGACATCTTTTATAAAGTGCTCAGTTCTAGAAATGCAAACAGAATTCATGGTGAAGGATAAAGAAAGGAAAATTATTAATAAAAGTAAGAAAAAAAACAGTAAAGGTTCTGGGAAGAATAAGGCCAAGAAAGAGAGAGAAATGGATGTGCATCATTATTAACTATTGAGATATAGATTATTAAAACTGCCAAATTTTTAGGATCAAGTGAACCAAGCTGAGGATCCATCTCTTTTACTTAGTAACTATATTGACTTCACACAAATCACATAAGTTCTCTGAACACTTCTTTCTCATTTTAAAAATCATAATGGAATGAATATTCCTCATTAAATTTAAATTAAATAATTTTCATAAGGGTCTGGAACAGCCCCTGACAAATGGATAACACTTAAGCTGGTCCACTTTAAAATTTAGCAGAATAATTCCTAGTCAAAAAGAAGAACAAGGCAATATTCCTGGCTTGAGGATTCTAGCCAACTATGTCAGTTTCTATTATCTGTACAATAGGGTGATCAGAGATTTGAAATATACTTAAGATTCTTTGGCTAAATATATTTTCTGTGGAGCTTTAATCCTGTTGATAGCTCATAAAATATTATACATATGTTAATGCAATAGTAATCAGTAAAAAAATAGGGAAAAATTTTAAGGAATGCAAGGAGTATATAGACAAGTATGAAGATAGTATAGAGAAGTAGAAAACGATGCAAATAAATTATAATCTGAGAAGTTGAGTGATGGGGAAAATACTTCTGTTTATGTTTATCTTATTATTGTTAAATAAAATACTGTTTGGCCAATGAAACGGCAAGTTAGGCAGGACTAGGAGTCAAAGAGGATTCTGGGAAATGTAGTAGAGAAGTGCTGATCCAGGCAGGAAGTGACATAGCGAAGATACTCATATTTAAGCGAAGGAGAAACAGGAAGGGCCCTCTTTTCCCCTCTGCTCCTGCTCCAGCAGCACAATGTGATCCACCAGCCAGGAGGGATGCCAACAAGGCATCTGATAAGATAAGTCTTATAAAATATATAGATTTATGATAATTAAGACTGAGCTAGCAGATGAGAATCCTAGTCATTGGCCAAGCAGCATTGTACCTAATACAAATTTCTGTGTATTCATTTGAATCTAACTCGGGCGGGTGGCTGGCGTAAAGCTCCCACGTGGCAGTGGGGCTCAGTGGCTTTTGGCAGAAAGATTTATTGTAACAGGTGAGCCTCCCTTTAGTCATTTTCTGTTGTGGTAGAAACACCATATTAATTGTGGTTCAAAACTGGACTTTTGAGAGAAAAAGATTCTATTAATAATCATGCCAAATCCCTAAGCCCTCGGGAGGCTGAGGCAGGAGAATCAAAAGGTCAAAGCCAACCTGGGCCACTTAGCAAGACCCTGTATCATTTTTTTTAAAAAAAGGCTGGGCATATGATTCATTGCTAGAGAACTTGCCTATCGTGACTTGTGACTGAGTTCTCTCCCCAGCACTAAGAAAAGAAACACAAGTCACACAAGTCAACAGCCATCAAATAGATGTATCCCAGGCCAACCAAGGTGTGTAGGTGTGTGTTCTCCCTCATACCCAGTGGCATGAACCCAGGTGTTTTGTGATCGTGCACCCTGACCCTGTATATGTTCTTGTGTGTGTGTGTGTGTGTGTGTGTGTGTGTGTGTGTGTGTATACTCCCCTTGTTTAGGGCTTATACTGGCAAGAGACCCAGGAAAGCCAGCTTTCTTGTCTGTTATGTTACCATGTATTTCTAAAACCACTTCAGTGGTTAATGCATTTACTCCTTTATCCATTGACTTGTTTCTGTTCTTTTCCTTCCACTTTGTACTCATTTATTTTCATTAAATTTTGCATTTATTTTGAAAAATATTCAGATTATAGCTTGTGAGTGTGTGTGTGTGTGTGTGTGTGTGTGTGTGTGTGTGTGTGTGAACATATATGTACAAAAGCCTGAAATTTAAAAAAAAGAGAAAATCCCTGATTAACCCTGATCAATGGGAATATAGGAAAGTTAGCATTAAGTCCAAATTTAGAAAAGAGATGTGGACCTCTTCATTCACAGTAAATAAGTCTCCAGGGATGGCTTTTCACTTCTGCAAGTAACACCACTTGGCAGGACAGCTTTTCTTTATTTTTCTTTTTTCTCTTAAAGTTTATTAATTCTTTGTAGATTTCATTCTATGCATCCCATTCCCATTGCTTTCCCTATCCCTTCAAATGTGCCCTCTCCTATTGCAATCCCCCTTCCCCCAAATAAAACAAATGAGTCACACAGTAAACCCTTTTTCCAAATATATTTACTGGCGAGTGTTAATTGCATTGAGTCATTGGTCAGGCTTGACGTCTCTGGCTTCTGTTACAATATAAATACTGGGACCTTCCTGTGATTCTTTTTGGATATCATGCTGTTGCCATATGTAATGAAGATCTCACAGCTTTGGATCTGCAGGACAATTCGCTAACCAGGATCTAGCAGTTCATAGATAGTTTTTTTTTTTTTTTGTTTGTTTGTTTGTTTGTTTTTGTGATGTTCTAACTCATTGCCCTTATTTTGTGTCTGGGTGATAGCTGGGTTCCTCAGACTACCAGTTTTCCTTCACCCTTACCACAAGGGTGAGCTCCTCAGCACTGCCTTGACTATGTCCCCTAATGCAGAAGGTAGCAAGGGATGGGCCAGTTCTTCTGTTCTCATACCTTTAGAGGCAGGCTCACCCACACCCACACTGCCAGGTCCAGCTCTACAGTGGCACCCAGGCAAGGTTCAGGGTCCACTTTCCCAAGTGCTGAAACTGGTGACAGGCTGGACAAACTTTCCAGTTCTCATGCTACCAAGGCCAGCTCTCCCACCTGGAACAAACAGCAAGGGACCAGACAGAAGAGCTGGAGTATGTTCAGCTCTCCCGCTCTCAATATTTGAGGCCAGCTCACCGGCAACCCTGTATTTGAGGCCATCTCAATGGCACCCCTTCCAACAGGGTCAGCACTATTGTGCTGTCCAAGCAGGTGCAGAGCCTGATCTACCAGTCTCATGACCCTAGTGTCAGCAATCCTGTCTGCAACAGGTGGCAAGGGTTGAGGAGAAAGGAATGAGGAGGGCATCTCTCCCTCACACATATACTGTTGCAGGACAGACAAGAAGTGGGGACATCTCTCCTACACTCATGTTCTTGGTCCAGATCAACTGGACCCCATCAACAGGGTCAATTCTACTATATTGTTTGGGTGAGTTGCAAAGGCCACTCAAGATTCAGGGCCTGCTCTCCTGAGTTCTGTACCTGATGAAGGGAGAGTTAGTTTTCCCTAGTGCTTACACCCAGGGAGGGGTAGGAACAACTCTGCAACCTTATCCTCACAGCCTTCAGGGGTAATGGGAGCCAGGGTCATCAATATACACTGAAGATGGGATAGGTCAAAGGACCCAGACAAGGCACTTGGCAGGAGCTCAGACCCAGACATCACCATGGACTTGGATGGAAATCAGGTAACTACTCAGCCTGTGCCTTACCACCTTTTTCCTCTTTATATCTGCCTGTCTTCACAGGACTTGCACCACTCTGCCTATGTCTCTCTTCCATACCCGACCATGTATTCTCTCACCATAATGGCTCTAGACTCCCTAACAACACAAGCATCACAAAACAGCAGCCAGGCTCATAGTATCTCACAAACACCCAGAGCGGGTGGCCCCAGGCAGACATGTGTATCTCCTTGTCCTGCTATATTTTTCTATAGGACTTCTACACATCCCCCATGAAACAGGGCCAAGTCATAATGGGTTTCAATAGAAATCTCTAGAGTTATCAGCTTCAGTCTAGGAAGTAGAGACATTCAACCCTAGTTTCTTCCCTGCAACTAAACATGGAGAAGGAAAAATTACACTCTAAAATGGCCAGAGAAATAGGGTTTAGGGAATTCTTTTCAAGTAAAGGTTTAGAAATCCAGAAAAGGACTGATAAACAAACAAAACAACAACAAAAATATTGCCTAGAGTAGTTAGAGATGTTATATACTGATATTGGATGTTGAGGAAAAGCCAAAGGAGAAATCACATAGATGGGATGCAGCTATTCAATAAAGTGAAGGATATCTGAAGAATAATCACAGAATAGTACGCTTGTTAACCCCAAAGTTTAGTGCTCCATTATTCATCAAAACATTTTTATTTTCTGTGAGACAAATTAGGAGTGGTTTTCAGTCATAAATGACCTTTACTCACAGGGACTGAGTGATGACAAAGCAAGACACTATGGAATATGGATGAACTCAGTCTGCAGGCCACCTGTTCCTCCCAGTCAGCCTTCATGTATACACAGACCACATTAACTAAGCCCATGTTTTGTCTTCTTAATTTAGTTGAATTTTGATCATAAATCTTTAACTAAATACCTTTAATGGACAATAAATAGCAATTTAATGTTTCATTTGCAGCAAAGAACAGCTGTTTTGGAGTATGTAAATATTGAGTGAGTACTATTATGAGATACAGACAAAGGGTATGTATACACACATATATGAAAAACAATAATTAATGAAGATATCACAATTAAGAGAGACATGGAAGGAGTTGTACTGAGAAGAGTAGGGGTAGGAATAATTTAGATGTACTGATGCTGTTTGACAATATTTAAGACTTTAAATATCTTTATAAAGAAAACAATGACTTAAATTTTACAAGCTCAATTGGTTGACTACATCTGCCATACGCTGTTGTTTACTTGGTGACTGACAGCTTCCAAACATGAAATTGTCAATATGCAGGGAATAGAGCACAAGAGCATGTAAGTTTGGTTATTTGTAAAGCTAAGCCTCCCCTCAGTTTTACTGGGTCCTAGGTCAAGTATATCTTAATTTTCTGTTTGGATTATATATTAATCTTATATTTTATTTTCAGTAACACTCTATTTCTTTTTCAGTGATATCCCTGACTCACTTTGACTATCCCAGAGAATAGTGTGGTGACGATATTCTTGGAAGCAAATACTTGGAATCCTATATAGTAATTGCTAATGTTGTGACATACCTAGAGTATAAATTTTTATAAATTTGGGCTGACTATAATTATTGTTTAGAAAACTGAAAGAGGATAGTTTATAAAATATCTGGTGTTTTATGTGTGTTTAAAATTATAATTACTCATTTATTGGGAAGATAGCTCTTCCATAAGTGAATATTTGTTTATATCTGCATAATCTCTGTTTTTCAGTTATAATATTCAAACTTTTCTTTGACATGATTATTTACTACATCCCCTAAAACCTAGAGTGTCAAATTCTTATAGACTAGCTGATAGTGATTTATTTATTCTCCATAATTTTGTAAGTTTTGCTTCAGCTTCCTATCAGTTGGGAAAAGTCTATCTCCTGACATCACTGAGCATATATACTTTTCTGATCTTAGTACTTTCCAATCTGGTATCTTCATCATCTCTTGTCTACTATTCTTAGACTTGGTGCTGGAAATTCATCACACCAAACATATGCCATTATCTCTCTTCATGTCAGATCAAAAATCAGATTTAAGAAATTCAAATAAAAATCATATATTGAAACAAGAAAAGGAATTATTCACCCCCCCCAAAAGGTTACAGGCTAATGAAGATGTTTAAAAGATTAAATACTTGAGCTTCATGAGGGAAGAGAAATGTGTATTTTTAGCAAAGTGGAGGAAGAAAATAAATACATAAAATAGTGTTGTGAATGGGACCATATTGCTTAGAATAGATATTAAATTCTACACCATAGAATTCATAAATATTCTAAGAGAAGAGGACATTCTAAGGGTCAAGAGAAAATCACTGAAGTTAATAAAAAGATGTAAGGCAAATTTTTGATGGCTTCACAGTTTCATTTTAATTTTTTGTAATTATTATTAGGTGTTATGCTATTAATTATACCTGATATGTATTGTATACTTAACAAATGAAGTAGTCTAGTAAATACCCAGTAGACAAAAATCAAAACCTTTGAATGAATATTATACATTCATAATATATATGTGTGTGTGTGTGTGTGTGTGTGTGAAAATATATTCTGATATAATGATATAATGACCAATATATAAATATATGATGATGATGATGATGATGATGATGATGATGATGAGCATACTGTATGAGCATAAGCAATGTATGACTTAGTGACAATAGCTCCTGGATCACTGGATGAGATTATTGCGCTATGCAGGGCCATACTCCTCCATTCTTGTAAATTTTAATTGCTAAATGGTTTGTAATGTAGTTCATTTTGTTGAAGTAAGGTTGTGCCCCATGAGCAGTATTCATTTTTTTGTACATATCAGTTTCCATTAAGCTATACTTGGACATAAATTCTTTGAGCAACTATTCATCTAAGAAGAGAATTTATGAAAGAATATCTGATTTTTCTGCTTATCATCTCCCTTTAAGCTGCTGTTTAGCATCATGCTAGACTTCAGTTTGATCAAACAGGTAAATATGGATTAGGAAAAACTACTAATTCTCTTATGATTTAACTACTTTCATGATCCAACAGAATACTAGTGCTATTCTCTGCATGATACATGTTTTGTGAGATCTCTCTCTCTCTCTCTCTCTCTCTCGCTCTCACACACACACACACACACAAACACACACACACACACACACACACAGACATACACATGCACATGCATGTACACACACACAAATTTACTCACCCCAGAAAATAAATTCATAGCTGACCAATGTAACAATTACACCAAAATCCAACTTGGGGACCTAATGATGTGGTTTTATTGGGGTTACTAACAGGAATATGGATGGATGAAATTTTTCAATAGGATAGATGACTGACGAAAAGCCATCAGAAAAGGCCATTCCAAAATTTAGTGAAAACTCACAAAAGCTGCATTCTTGGAATTTTCTGTCCATTTTTTAGTCAATTATAGGGTTCTCAGAATCTCCTCTTTACAATAGAGTTGGTCAGAGAATCCTTTACTGAGATGTTTATTTTCTTTTTTGTGTGTGAAAATACTATTTTTATTAATATTTTAAAAATATTTTTGATATATCCTTCTAGGAAAAATATTGAAAGGAGCATTAATAACAGCATACTTTAGCATTCAATAACCCTAATAAAAGGTGTATACATTTTTGTATTTTTGAGTCTCTATGTAATAACTTCTCAATATGTGAATTACCTTTATTTCTTCTTATTTTATTTTCTATAAAATGAATATTTTATTTTTCTCTACTCTATTTGGAATTTTCAGTTAATATCTTTTAAACCAGTTTTTTATATTTTCATTTAAATACTTTAATTACTACTTATATTTACATATCCACCCCCCCATTCCCTCGCCCTCCCATCCTCCCAAATTCCCTCCCAACCCCTCCCAACCCATTCCTCCAACTCCTCCCCAGTGAAAGTGAGGCTCTCCACCAGGGACCTTCAAAGTCTGTCATATCATTTGGGGAAAGGCCTAGACCCTCCTTGCTGTATCTAGGCAGCAATAGTATCGCTCCATAAGGAATGGGCTCCCAAAGTCCATTTTTGCTCTAAGGTTAAAGACTGGCTCCTCTGTTAGAGGTCCCATAGACTGCCTTGGCCTCCCAGCTGGCACCCACATTCAGAACCCTTGGTTCTGTCCAATGCTGTTTCCCAGCTTTATGACTAGAGTCTCCATGCTCTCACATTCTTGAAATCTGAGAGGGAGCTTTGCGAATGTTTCATATTTCTACTTTCCCAGACATTTGCCATTTTTTTTCTTCAGAATCTGATGAGATTTCCCCTTTCCCCTGAAGGAAATGTTTCAGATCAGAGGAAACTGTTATCCAGCACTCTTCACTTTTCTTCATCTCCTTATATGTTATCCCTTCCTTATTCATTCACTTTCTTCGAAGTCCTTTCTTATAATTTTCCTTTATATTTTAACTTACTCATATCATCTTACTTCAAGTCACAAGACATGTTTCTTGTGGTTTCTTTAGTCTTATGATAATGTAATCTTTGGCTTTGGATGTCTTCCCCACTTTATGATTAATACATCTGTAAACTATTCAATGATATCAAATTGATTGACATCAATATCTTCCCTGAATTCCATTATTTTATAATAATCAGCACAAGTATAAAAAAAATCACTAAATCTCAACAAATGACCTAATTTTTTTCTTCTACCCCAGAGACAACTACCAAACTTTCTAATTCTAACTCTAATTTTATAATTCAAGCAACATTTTTTCAGACTAAAAATCTTGAAATTTTCTCTTCCTTTCCCTTTTTCTTTCCAACTAATAACCAATCTTCTAGCTCTTCTATATTACATTTGAAGAAAATTAAGGATTTTAAATTCACTCTGTCCTAATGTTAGGCTTGAACCAATATTATTCTTTTTTTTTTTAAATTAGAAACAAGCTTGTTTCACATGTCAATCCCAGGTCCCTCTCATTCCCCTCCTCCCTCAACCCCACCAATCCCCTCAACTCTCCACCCCATAACCCCTCTGCTCCCCAGGGAGAGTGAG